GCGTTGAAGGTTGTGGACAGGCTGATTGCTTGCACTAAACAAGTGTTCTCTCACAGTACAGACAACAACCAATATTTTCAGAGCATTTTGTGATGCACGATGCCAAAATCGGGTATCAAAATGAGTCGAAATTCCCTGAACGTCTTGCGTCAACTGGCGGATTTATGTTCAACGTGCTAGGCAGAGGATGATGGTAGCTGGAAACACTCTCGCTAATTGCGACTGCTTTCAAGAGGCAAGCAGTTGAAGTAGATCACCTGTCGGCAATGCTCATTTGACTCATTACCCATGCTTGTTGTCGCCTCTAAGTGTTCAAACTAGCGCGATTTCATATAACTGTTAACCTTAATTGAATATCCTTTTTAGCTTCTGCCCCGCAGTTTTCATTATCAATGCCGATATATCCGTGTTTGGAAGATTGTGGAAGTGTTTTTTTGCGTGATACAGTAATCCAGTTCACACGGTTAACCGCATCCAACCTACCGACATTATTTTGTGATGTGCCTCGTTTAAATCATGATTTTTTTATTTATCCTTGATTGATGTTCTCTAGATTCGGCCCTTTTGATTCTGTTCTAGTCTAGGTGAAGGCGTGATCCTTGGGGGGTGTGTGAAGGCTGACGTGGAAAATATATTTGTAACTAGGCTGATTAATGTGATAAAAAACATCAAACACGCGTCGTCTGTTCAACATGTTGATTTAACCGCGAGAACCCAGCTGTGCTGATTACAAACACATGTTCTGGTGTGGCCCTGGATAGCCATCACGCCTTGATAATTCAACTTTGCCCTGTAGACCGTGCGCAGGTGTCACGTTGCTGGCTAAACCCCATGCGTGGGGATTCGAATATTGTATCACACGTAGCCCAGAGCACAGGCATATTCATTAAGCAGTCTGTGGAATGTAAACTTCAAATGGTCACTTTTTGCTCAAGACGGAATATAGCAGAGGCTAATTACGCCAATAACGTGTGCATTGGGCGCCTCTCTTTCCTAAAGAGTTGTTTCCACGGGTGGCGTGCTTACGAAAGCGCCTGCAATCGACGGAGACTGCGTGCTTCGCTCGCGATCACAGGCTGACTGGGAAAGTCGTGGTCATGAAAACCGAGGTTTCAGGCGACGAAGGCGAGCTGACATAAGTGCTGACGGCTGCACGTCAACGCGCCAGCTGCCGTCGCGTGCATGACAATTTTAAGGATGCATTCGGCGCACCACCCCGGCATAGTCATTCCTGTTTGGTGCCCCGAGAATCATGTCGTCGTTCCAATTGCGCCAGTTTAGAGAAGCGCTTGTCAGGTGTCGGCTGTTAGTGGGTCATGCAAGTCATTTTTCGCATAGACATGCTTTTTTTTCATTGTCACACCGAGCTGCCGTTTTAATTCACGTCAGTAAGTGTAACTACGCCTTAATTATCTGCTAATCCCCACATTTACCGAGATGTGATGAAAGGCCGAAAGTTGGTTTCGAAAATAGTCTTTCGTGAATATTTTACAGCTTCGTGGTGAAAACGGATGTTTCAGGAACTAAAGCGTGATTGGAAAAAATTGTGGAATATTTGTTCGTCTAAGTGTGTCCCAGATGCAATCGAACCCGGTAGATGGAGACAGCATTTTTCAATTAAATCAAACATACTAGATTTCGATTGTGTGGCCGGCTAAATCTGCGATGGCTAGCAAAAATGGAATTGGTTTTCCGAGCTAAGACGACACGCTAAATGTCATCTTGGTGAACCGTTTGGTTTACTTCCAACGTATTCTTCAGACGGCGACCATCGAGACATCTTTTTTTTTTTATTCTCCAACACTGTTTATGTAATTGTATTTCTTAATGTCTAACTACGTTTCTGACATGTTCTATTCAGGTCGCATGATAATAAAATCATAGTGCTTTCTGGTTTCCCTTCATAAATATGCAAAGCTACTTTTATCCAAAAGTAGCGTATTTCTTTTGAGTTAAAAAATCAACTTGCCAGAGAACGAATCTACTGGGTAATTTTTAAATTCTATGTCGTGCTAAATAGGAAATCCTTTCTTCTTAATTTATAAATTAAGCTCATGTGAGGTAAGTTGCTTTTGTCATATTCATTGGGACTAGAGGATTTCTTACAATTACCGATTTATCCAAAGAGACGTACCATGTTGTGGATAGTAATAACATCAATAAAATTATACTAGATTAGGGAAACAAAGATGAATTTGGTTTTTTAGGCCATTTGTGACTTACGCTACTCAAAAGTAGCTGTCAATTGAAGCAATAAAACATGTTGGGCCATTTTTAACTAAAAATTGTTTAAATGTACCACAGGCACCTTCGTGTTGTCAGTGACATTAATTTATATTACGGAAAACGATTGAATTCTGCTTCCAGTACGTGCTATGATTGCAATAATTAGCTTGGAGCTTAGTTTGAAGTATAATTGAGTTGGTTAGCCTAAGAGGACATTAAGAGAACCCTGTGTAGCCTTAGAATAGCTATGTTTTGTTGACAAACTGGTGGTACTGTATCAGAAAGACTTGATGGCGTTGAAAGAAATACCTCCTCACTCAAAGGTACGTTATTGAGCTTGGCGCTCTGCAAAGTACCTGCGTCATAGACTTCGTCTGAAATTCATCAAAACTAAATCACCTAACGACACCTTATAATTTAAATTTTTCTGAATTGCGACATATACAGAAGTGCAAGTTACCTCATGATTTCTAAACAAATCTCTGGTTGCTAATGTGTGAGCATTTTACACATGCATCGAAAATTTATACCAACAGGGGCAACGATAAACTTGAAAACATTTATGCAGCTTCAGCATTCCGAAGTGCCAACACCTGCTCGACACTACCTTTTAACATAAAAAAACGTGACAATATTAGATTTATGGAAAGATCTTACAGTGGACGAGATCAACACCATCTTCACTTTTGGAAATTGATAGTGCACTTTAAGAATAGCCGCCTATAGGGTACAGTAAATAAGTTTCTTATGTGTCGTCTTAACCACAAATGAAATTAAAATTCGCCAGAAAAATCGATTGCATTTAAAGCGTGCTTATGTTACTAACGAAGGCGATAATCAACAAAACACTTTTTATTTCATTAAGATCAAATATTACATTGCAATAGATTTTAAGGGATTACTCCATCAGTACTCTTGCACGAGAAGTTTCCGCAAAACATTCATATAAGCCATTGACGAATAGTATTCACTCCAATTAATTGACCTCTGTTTAACTTTTTGGCATTGAATTCATTCTCTGATTTGACTATCACAAAGCGACACAAGTTTATAAGTTTAGGATAAAGTCAGATATTTTTTATTATTACTAGAATGATCCACGGCCTAGATTAAGTTGCCACTGAGTTATTCAAAAACAAAAAAGGTACAAGTTGCTGAAATTTGAAACTTAACGGTGGTCATATCTTCATAGAGTAATTGACCAAACATAAAAAGGAAAGAGAAGTACTCAGGTCAGTTAGTGATAGAATTTGGCTGCTCATGAAGAAAAGTCTCTAAGATAAAAGCATGAGATAAACTAATTAGTGAGTAGGGGAAGTTTCTTGTACATTTTAGGACAGAAAAAGTGGATTATCTTTAATTCAAGCAAATCGTTATGAGTATTTTTAGCACAAGGCAAGAGATTGTTTAATTTTACGACAAGAGGCTGCAATAAAATGAACTTCTGTAATTTCGCTCTGCAAAACTTTAAATTTATTGTTGATTTTTCACTCGCTATACATTGGCGAACATTGTGGCGAAATCATTGAGATGGTCTAGTATTTTCTCATTGCTGATTGAAAGTAGTCACTATCAAAACAACCAAATGGAAGGTCGAAGCGGCTACTGCTTCGTATAGAATACCCAATTCCTGTTATGAAGACAAGCACAACATCTTATGCTTTAATTAATAATCACGAGCCAGAACAGTGCATCATGCACCGTCCATCCGAGTTCACCATGCTGGCTACGCCAAGCATCATAGACTGGTCCTCATTCTCATTGTCTCTTGTTGTCTGTGGATATTCCACGTAGAATATTCAAACGTACAGACAGAGGATTGGCTAAGCACAGCATGACCCAATATCTTCGTCCTAGGATCGTCGCTACAAGACAAAGTCTTATTGATCAACTACAACCCAGAATTGTACACTAGGTGCCGTTTATCTGAGTCCAGCATGCTGGTTGCGCTGTTCGTTATACATCACTTTATTGTCCATGGATTGCCTCTTATCTTTTTCCAAGCCCTATAAATGCACACTGGCAGAGGATTGGCTGAGCTCGGATTGATCCAATATGTCTGCTCCTTTGTACGCCGAAACTGTAGGTTTCGGCCCCATGGTATAGTGAGGAAGAGAATGAGACAAAATGATTTTCTTTAATAAAGGATGGAACTCGCG